TCCAAAGACATTAACTATAGGAGATAACAATAAACTTCTTTCCAATTAATGTTCTGGAACCTTTTCTAATTCTTTTTACAGTAACTTTTGTATGAACATGACCACAAAAAGCACTGAAGAAACAGGTCAGCTAAAAACTGATTCAGTGTGATCTCCCCATCTGTTTGGTATCATTACTGACATAACAAGAACTCAGGCCTCAACTCTTCTCCCCTCAAAGTTAATGCATGAATTGTCTAACAGTAAAATCAGAAACTAAGTTTTGTGCTTTTCAAAAGAATTATTGCTTCCTGAAAATAAATACCAGGCAGACTTTAAAAATAGATTTTATTTAGTAATTAAAAAATATACATTGAACTGGATATTTGGAAATTAATCCTACATTACTAAAATAGCTTAAGAAGCATTATTTGAAAGATAAACTGATAGCTGACTGTAAAAGCCTAGCCCTGTTGCACTTCACAGTTTAGCTTTAACTGTAATAAGCACAGGAGGTTATTAGTTTTTAAGTAACTGATTTGTATTTCATACATATATAGGTCATTATTAATTCATTAGCACCTCAATCAAAAGTTTAGGTTATTTATAAAGGTTATTTATCAAAGGTCATTTACAAAGAAACATGGGATCTTTGCAATATCCTAAAATCAAAGTGCTTCTGAGGCTGTGCAGTGCTCAATGCTAAAACCAATGTAAACAAGTCAAAATAGTACAGATTAAGTTTATAAATTACCAAATTCTGTACCATACGGAATACACGCAAAACACATCAACAAAAACACGAATGTGACTGCAAATTGACAAATAAACAATAGATAAATAGTAAAATCTCCATAAAATGGTAAATTATTGTCTCCATTTTGAAAAATGGAGGCAAGCATTGCTAACAGCTAGGACAAACTAGCCAGTTTCAAACATATTTTATTTATGTAAAATATCAAATCTCTCCTGAGATCTGTTTATGCATTAAAAGGCTTACATTATTTATCTTGTGGTGGTTTTTATTCCTCCAACATAGATTAGCATCCTCTTGCTTCCGCAACACTATAATTAAAAGCCTTCCTCTGATTTCAGCAGTATAGTGTTATTCTTTAGCCAGAGCCAGCTTTAAGCAGACATGAAAACACACAAAAAATTTAAGGCAGCCTCATAAAATCTGAGTCCAGTCATTCCAACAAGATTGCCTTTGCTCCAATCGTAAAAACTACTTTAAACTAAGTACTGATTTTCATTCTTCGCGACTCCTTCCTCCACTGACTCTGTTACCCACAGCTCAGTTACAATTTTGAATTTTTTACCAAATGTTCTCCTGAGTGCTTTCATCTCTTTTACCCGGGAATGATCTTCTCCTATAACAACATGGGAGACGCCATCTGCAAGGTGAGAGACTACTTTTGCACCATAAAAACGGAGCTCCAAAGCTCTAATTGATAGTGTTATGCCAGGGATTTTGCTTTTAGGCTCATTAACAACAGCGTAACAGTCCACATAAATAGTGTTTCCTCTGAATATACTGAGCTGACAATTGTTCCATGAATAACGTTCTTCTATCTCTGCAATTACGTCCAAAGGCATTGCTTTATTGTTTTTCACTCTTGAGAACACTTCCTTGAGCTGTGCAACATCTGTGTTTGCTGTGTAGCTGTCTCCATAACAATCATACTCACGAGCAAAATGTTCTTTTGTGTCAGGAGACATGTGAATCATAAAGGCTGGTTGCCAAGGCACCAGCATTTTGGTTTGAAAACATTGAAGGAGCCACTCTGCCCTCACCACATCGTATTTGTTGGAAGCAATGATGTTTCTCACTCTGACGTTCTCAGCTCCTGCAATGACACAGTAAGTCTCTGGCCCCGGGTTCTGTACCACACTGCCACCACATTCGGCTATTCTGCTTTCCAGCTCAGACTTTGTGTATTTCCCTGTTCCTGTCATAACACAAAACTCAACATCTTCAAATACATTTGAAACCTTGTTTACACTAGAAAGATCAGGAGCTTTAAATTGCTCAGCTATTCCAATTACCTTCCTCACCTTTGAAACAGTTTTCCTTTTTTTCTCATGTGGCTCATCATACTCATCTATATGAAGGTGCTTAGATGCCAGTTTCCCTTCTGCTTTGCTTCTGAGATCTTCTAACATGTCTGAAGTCATGCACTCATACCATTCTTTATCCTCTCTTATCTTCTCGATTCGGGGGAATCTCAAAGTACAGTCAGTTTTGTACATATCACTGTCAACAATCTCGGCTGCCTTGATCTGAACTATGACAGAGTTGCAAGGTTCAATGTACATTTCAGGTTTTTCAGTTCCACATAAAATGTTACAGGGAGGGTCCTTCCTATGGTAGGGCTTCCAGTATTTAGCCAGTTTCAAGCCTAGATCATACAACTCCTTCATAGTATAGCCAGAGCCAACACGACAAATTGAGTGGAAAATGGTTGGTTTTTCATTTGGAGGGGGCGTCTCTGCAATAGCGCACAGAAAATGAGACATCATCCCACCACGTGACCCCTTACCCCAGTAACCACCAACAATTAAAAGGTCTAGCTCATCCATCAGTCCATTGACATATTCTGGCTTGATTTTTAACCAGCCTTCCCCGCGTTTGTCAGGTTTGTAGGTGGACATGGGATCTTTCACCATAATCCCTTCCTCTCTGTTATCTATTGCTTCATTTAAAGCATCAATTACTTCTTTTCTTGTTCTGGCACTTTTCTTATTTACAATATGAATCCTGCCCTTCACCGGGGTAAATACACTACTTAAGATTTCGTATCTTTTGCTTAGTACTTCGTGCCCCAACTTCTGATCGTTAACCATCAACACGTCGAACACACAGAAGCAGGTCTGCAGATCAGAGTCCTCCACCATTCTTTTTATGTCAAATTTGTTTCCTTTTTGCATAAAGGTTTGCGTCTCAGGATTGTAAGCCATCATTTCACCATCAAGAATGCAATTTTGTATATTGCTTTTAAATACATTATGAATAAATGGCGTTAATGAACCTTCAAGGGGTGATGCACCAAACTGCTGAGTATAGTCAAACCCATTTCTGGAAAAATATTTATACACATCCCCATCTTTGTGCATCTGCATACGCTCACCATCCAGCTTGGTTTCTATGTAGAATACCTGGTTATTCATTTGTTTCTCGATTTGCTGGACATCTGCAATGGCAGCAAGCATTGGTTTAAAGGCAGAAAACAACATGATAGAAACATCACTAAGTGAGACAGAGGGATCATGCAGCTGTATGCAAACTTTTTCCAAATCAGTTGTGACGTTGTGTAATTCAGCAGCATCAGGATGAAAAATGGAAAATATAGTTTGTTGACTAACACCAAGCTTTAGATCCTTTATAATCATCCGGATAAGCCATTTTTGTTCCAGTGCTGTGCTCTGGGTAATTAACTGAAGAAGGCTTTTCTTTAACTGACCCTTGTTTTTCGCAGCATTATTACTAGCTATCGCATCTAAGTGTTCATTGACTTGTTCTATTGTCAGTCTGCCTTGTTTTGGGCTCCTAGGTTTCAGCACAAAGTATGCGATCATTGCAAAATCTCCAGCGTCTCCACGTGAGCCCGTAGGTGTTCTGTAATTTAAAAGCTTTGCAGCATCTTTTCCATCTTTTGGTAAATGAAGCAGTTCAATATACAGCTTTGCAAGCATAGTTTCTTTAATTCCATACGCCATCCTTTCTCTTTCCAGCTGTGGAAGAATAAGCCGCATAGCTGGGTAAAAGGAATCTGTGACATCTTTCTCTTTTTGGTGAAGTGCATCATGGAATTTCCTCCAGGAATCCAGAAAATCTTTAAAATACTTGGTTTTCTCCGGACGAGATTTACACTTCTGTATTCGCTCCAGAGTAGCGCACAGATCTGCAAAAGGCACGTGAGAGGCCACTGTTTTTTTGGGAGGCTGCGACACAGGTGTGGAAGCCATCAGTCTGCTTTTCATTAAGAACAAAAAAAAAAGTATATATTTTTAGAGAAAACGCCAGCACGTTATTCCAGAAAAAAACCCATCTGTAACTACTATTTACCTTTATTTCTCCTTTTTCGAACTAAGATTTAACTGTTATCTTTACTTAAAGGCCATCAGCTGGTACCACTGTCCTTAGTTAAGGGTCACACTCAGCAGTGGGGCTGCGACACTGAAACACCGGCATCACCTACGCAGGACTGACTGCAAGGCAGGAGAAGGCAGCGCGCTCCCCTCCCGTTGGTGCCCAGGCAGGAGCTGTCCCTGCTCGGAGAACGATTTCCTCCTCCACCCCGCCCGGGAACGCAGCCCGCCCCCCGACACGGCCCACCCTCGGCCCCCGTCAACCGGCCGCTCCCCGGAGTCCGGGGGAGCGGTGTCCAACGGGGCCGGCACCGCTCCCGGTGCTCCTCCCGCGGAGAGGGACCACACCCACCCACCCCACATCCCTCTGCCACATCCCCCTGCCACGGTCACGGCGGGGGAGCGGACACCTCCCGGGGGGGGCACCTCCTGCTCGGCACGGGAGGAGACAGCGGGGGCGATGGAGGCGCAGCCACCCCGGGGGAGACTTACGTGGGGCCGAGGATACCTGCAGTGAAGGGCTGACACCAGCTACCCCCGCCCCGGAACAGGAAGAGAGCCCGCTGACGTCGCGCTCCTCCCCCGGGCCGGGGCGGGGAAGCGCTGGCGGATCCCCCGGTGCGGGAAGGCGGGGAGAGAAGGGAGAACGGCCGGGCGGTGACCTGGAAGCGGAACCGCGGCTGCGGTGACTTCCTGCCTCGGGAGGAAGGAGCCGCGGTTGAAGTTGCGCGTCGGGGTCTGCGCTGGCCCGAGGCACCGGCGGCGGCCGCCCGGGAGGATGCGGCAGGTGGGTCTGGCCGCCCTGGGGCCGGTCCCGCCCCGCGGGCGGGGGGCGCTGGGCAGGGGGAGGCGGCGGCCGGCCCCGGCCCCGGGAGGCCGCGGCGGGGCGGCGGGGGCGGCGGGGGCGGCCGGCAGGTTTGGTTGTCACTTTGGTGTTGGGGGTCTGTCCGTGCATAAACGCGGCTTTTTCCTGGGAGCGGCTGGCAGGCCGGTTCTGTCCCCGCGGGTGCGCGGCTCCTGTGCCGGCCTTTCGGGACGTGGCTCCCGAGGAGCTGCTGCGTTGGCAACGCCGTCAGAAGTTCCTGCAGGTGCCTTCCTGCGGAGCCCCGGGAGATCTTTAGCTTCCTTGTAGCAAGGTCTTGGTCTACTGTTTGTCGCCGCTGCCGTATGGAACAATTCCTGCAAATGGGGATGCTTGTAGGAGGTGGGGCTGATGATGATAACTTTAATGTTCTTGCTGTGCCAAGTGACTGTATTGGCAAGGCTGAACCAGGTGGTTGTCTTAGGTAAAAAAGAAAATAATTTAACATGCTTGTGAAATACTATGTTTTAGAAGACTGTGCTCACTGGAAAACTAAGGTTGTAAGATAGCCAGCCTCGGTTAGTTATTGTTTTGGCAGGTTTTTATCCAGTATCATCATTATTCAAGACATGCCTCTAAGGTTCATTAAGACTTGTTGGTTGTAAAAGGAGGTGTAATAGGAGTTAAGAGTGTAATAGAGTGTAATAACTTTCAATTATGAACATGTGCAACATGATGCAGAGTTGTGAAAATTCCCTCTTTGAAATAAGTAGGACAAGTGGTTTGTTGATTTTAAAAGGCAGAGCCCTTAAATGTGTTATTCTTACTGTGCTTGTTAGGAGTCAGTGCTTTGCTGTCATTTTTCCTTTTTCTCTTTTCCTTTCTCTCCATAGTACTAAGGAAGTGTATTTTTCCTGTCTTGTAGGTTTGTAGATTGTAGCTTGTAAGTCTTCTGTTGGATCAGTTCCCGTCTGAAACCAAATTTTTATAGTTCAGGACTTAATATTCCTGTTTGCAGGAGTCTTCTGAATAAGTATGAGTAAATGTAAAGCTTGAGCAAATCTTATCTGTGTCTGGAGCAGGTAGAGTCTAGGAGAAGGAAGTGCAGTAAAAACCAACAGATGTCTTTAGGTATTTCTTAAAAACACAGAGAAATAATCTGATTTTGTTTGCAATCTTTTGGATTTTAAAATAAACAGTGAGTGCTAAGACTTAGCTCTTAAATGAGGAAGCAGCCATTAAACACCTGATTGTGCTTCTTAGCACTAACTTTAAGGCTGCTCATACACTAAAAATTAGTTTTAAGGAGACAGTGTAAATCTAGCATAACTTAATTTTTATGCACTATTTATATTATATGTGTACTGTGTGTTTAGTCCAGGACATTTTGATGTGATTGTTGAACTTCATTGTAAAATGTTTTCAGGTTCATCGCATATTTCAAACAAGTGTTCAGCTTAATAAGTGAAGCATGAATATGAAATGCATAATTTCATCAGTAAAGCAGTTGTAGTTCTAGGGGGTTTGGCTGTTAGCATTTCTTAATTTTCTTACGAGTAACTGAAGACAAACAGTAAATTATGTGTGTAATTCAAAAGTGATTTCACTCAATTCATAAATGGAATTGTCTTTCAGGCAGAGATGAAGCCTGGGAAATCATCACATCTAAAGGTAAATGCTTTATAATGTGATTGGTGTATGAAAATGGCACTTTTAATATTAAAAATATGGACAAAGACAAAACAACAGAATTCGTGACAGATACAAGAGTAATTTCAGCTGCCTTTCAAAATGAATGAAAAATTGTTCACAAGTACTCTAAGTATGCACTTGAGTTTTTGTGATTTTTCAGTCAATAATGGCATTAACCAATTAAGAATAGCATTAGAGCAAAGCAGAATATTGTTAAAGTACCTTGATCATAAAGACTTTATTTTTTTCTTTTTGTTGCTGTAAGTGATTTGTGTTTTCTGTAGTTACCTAATTATGAGATTTGTAGCTCGTCTGATAGAACATACAGGTCTGCAATAGCTCCTGGACTGTGGATTCAGCAGTGGAGATGTGTAAATACAGGTGTATGTGTATATCAACATAGTGTATAGCCCTCTGACATAACATTGAAACTCATCACATGCAAATTTCCTTTCTGTTTTGAGGGGCAGTACAGGTATGTGGCGGTGTAAACTGAACTAGTCTTTAAGCCAAAGGTACAGTACCAGTCTGGCTAAGTCTTGCTTTCATTAGGTCAAGCTTGAATTTGGCTGGATTGCTGTTCCTGCGTGTTAATGATTTCCACAGTAGAACTTTATATTTCAGTAGTGTCTTCTGCTTGTCTTTGAAGTATACAAGCATCATCAAAGAAATACTTGTAGGAAGCATCAGGATTCCCAAAGGCTAGCGTTTCTAATGCACATTATCAGAGGGACAGGAGGAAATGTGAAGCACCTGGATTCTAGAGGAAAGACCTCTAATCACATTTGTGAGTGAGAAAACGCTATGAGAAGAAAGCAGAGGAACTGAGTTTACATAGTCTGGAGGAAATGAAGGTAGATTACGTATTTGGAGCTTAATGAACATTGAACTCAAGGTGAAGAATTTAAGTAATAAATGTCCCTTCTTCTTAAGTGTATTAGGAAATATTTTCCAGTAGTAAGAGTAGCTAAGAACAAGAACAGCATATGTAGGAATTAATGTTAACATAAGAGTTAGTTAAGAAAACATCTACCAGATAGAACTGTATGGTTCTGGTGTTGTTGACTATGTTTGTCACAGACATTGACTTTCATGACAAGTTTAAAAAAAAATGCCATTATTCTTGTTTACATAGCCTCTAACTTAGTTTAAATAATCAGCAGGTATAAAATACTGTGAAAGCTGTAAAATGGGATGTGACTCCTTGTTATAGGAAAACTTTTTTCAAAGTCATTTGCAAAGTTACAACAATTACTTGAAATACAGTACCACAATGCAATGTTCCTCAAAAAAATTTTTTTTAAATTTTTTTATTTAACCAAGAATGAGTTCCAGAGAATTAATGTTTTGTCTAGGATATTTAGAAAGAAAACCTGTAGAGAAACTTTATTTCCCTGTCTGATACAAAACTTCTACTACCTTGCCACTGGCCAGCTAGCTGACTTCCCTTGGTTCCCATGTCTCCATCTGTAATACTTGGGTGATGTTTCATGTTATCTCTTTAGAGAGGTGTAGAGGCAATATAACTGAGATAACAGTAGAAGGCGATATAACTGAGATAATCCTGTTAAACAGCCATAAAAAAAAAATAACTAGTCATACTTGCATAAGACAGAAATCGATTAAAAACTTCTCTTTTAGGAGACATAAAGGTGTGCCTGCTTCTCGGCATAACTGGAACATCAGACAGTTATGGAGCAAGTCCATGAGTGGTTCTTGTAGTCTAGGAAGAGAAGCAGTCTCTCTAGAATGAGGGACAGTTTTGTCCAGGTAGTGTGTCTTCAGTGTTTCTTAGTTTAACCTGGTCAGACATCAGAGTCTAAATACATTGCTCTCCCTTTCCTATCCCCCTCTCACACCTTTCCCTGACTATTCTGGCTCACTATTAGTCACAAGAATTAGAGATACAGGAGAACTGTAACACATGCTCTTCATACATCAACACTGAGTTTTTGCATCATAAGATGTTACATTGTAAAGTGTTTAAAAGGTGTATAACTTCCCATCCAGAGCAACAGGAGCGGGAAATGAAGATCAAGAAGAGAATTTTTTTATCTGTGTGTTGTCTTGCAGTATATTGAACAGTCTGAAATATCATACACTTTGAGCAGTCTTGAATCTCATACACTTCAAAAAGTGCTGACCTTATCTCATTGAAAATTACTGTATTAGCTTACCCTTTTTATTTCTGTCCTTCAAGTGGAAATTTGGTTCTATTTGTGTCATGATCTGCTGTTCAGATCAAATAAGACTGAAAGATCTGTTGCATTGGGCTCCATGGAAAGCATGGATTGTAGCTTTATTGAGAATAAGGTAGTATTGGTTTGGTTTAGAGTCTCTTCTAGGCCTGTGTGTTTGAGAAACCATCTTTTGTCTCTCCAGTCATCTTTCAATTGTTATTGGAAGGAAGGGGGGAAGAACCTAGGAGAAACTTACATCTTAGTTCTCTAGCTGACAAATCTTGCAGTAGGATGTGAAGTATGAGATATGGGCTGATTCAGGCCTGGAAATGAATGGAACTAGTGAAGTTTATCATAATTGGGAAGAAAACTTTAATGGTAATGTAGTTGTTCATTAGTGCAGAGTACTCCACTTTGTTCAAATGTGTACTGAGTGTGTAACATTTGTGGCCATATAGTTTTCCCTTTTTGTTAGCTACTGTGTTTTGAGTTCTAGCTGTAGGATGCATGGGTTTTAGAACTCCAGTAGCAAAGTTTATTTTTATATATATATATCTCAGAAATAATCACACAGCAGCAGTATCTCAGTAATATAACATTTTGATAATATTAGCCTACTAAAATAAAAATAGAAGCAGTGTACAAATGAAACTAAAACCAGCTGTATCAGTCTTCAAGCAACAGTCCTTAGTGTATATGGCAGTTTTGCAAAACTTTATCACTTCAAGTGAGATTTTTATTACTTCTTTGTCTTTTATTAGTTTTATGTGGGTTTAATCATGGGTCTCATACTCTTTTGAATGTCTTGATGAGAAAGCATTTTTGGAGTCTCGTTTTTAAGGAAGTCAGAAAAATTTTGAAAAACATAATAGATAAGGAGAATGGTTTTACTTTCTCATTGTCAATGATCTTATAGTCTTGAAGTGGAATGCAGGAAACGTTTGTTAACTTCATTAGGAAATTCTCTTAGAAATTGAAGTAGCTACTTTATATGTCTCCAAATTGCTGTGAGTTCTTTACTGGAGAAATGGATCACAAGAGTTAAATTTTCTTATAGACAATATTTTGTGCATACCTGGATGTGGATGTTAAACATGAGCTTATAAATAATACAGGAAAACAAAGCTGGGATAACTGCTCTTTTAAATTACTTTGTATTTCACCAGTTTTATGTATTTAGAGTAGATACACTATATAAAATCTTAATGACATGTTTTTGGTTATTATGTGAATCTTTAGATGTAACAGATTAGTTTTATTTTGGATTTATTTCTAATTATTGCATAAAATAGTTATAGATGGCAGTTTTTCCTGGTCAGATTGGTTGCTTAACATATCTGTGGAACACAAAAGCTGTGGCTGCAGAGGTCACTGGTTATCACTTGATCCTACTAGGATGGCTGGTGCACAATGCTTGGATGCATCTCTGCATGTCAAACTCCTTTGGATTTAATTCAGATTCTTACTGCATTACATCATCTCAGGAGGTTATAACTTTGTGTCTAAACTGTAATTATTATCTGCTGTATGACTTAGTTTTGTTAAACAAGTAAGCTTGTGTTGTCATTCCAGGCAGTGTGGCAACTGAGTAGTGTGCTGTAGTTCTCGTGTAAGTGTGGCAGTTTCCATATTCCATATTCCACTTGAGCCCAGCAGTAAATACTGTGAGAGATTATATGTATGCTGGGAGATGTAACTGTCTCTTATAACTGGAAAGAAGGTTTAATCTGTGGTCATTAACATCACTCTCCTTGTTTTATGCTGTATGCATGTTTTTGTCTTGAGTCTGTTTTCATGTTTGGTCCTTTCAGCAGTTGTGTTTTTCATTAATCAGAGAACAGCGTAGTTAGCTGACTGTTTTCAGTGTCTTGTGTGATGATACAATCTTCCATTCAGCTAAAGACTTAATATGAATTATTGATCTAATAGTGGAAAACTAGCATTACAAAACAGAAACAATCAAAATCTAGCAAAAAAAGCTGTCACAAATGGAACAACGGTGTGATATCTTACTATAGAGGAGTCTCTTCTGACCACTTCACGTGTTGCTCTGTAATCATGGTTGATTGAGATGCCGAAAGACAGCCACTGACAGCAGAGCCAGGATGCATGGTGAGCCTCCACTGGCTGCAAAGTGATTGGGCACAGGCTTATTGAATGCTACTTAGCAACTTAAAAATAAAGGCTATTTTTGTTTGTGTTCTGCGTTTTAGAATTACTTATATAAGAAGCTTTGACAAACTGGTGGTATGGTCTGTGTGGTTGTTCTCTTGGTTGGTATGGAAGACTGAGGGGAAAGCATAAGTTACTATGGTCTCAGTCAACCAATTTTCTAGTGCTATTAATGGATTTTGCTGAAATACTGTAGATAGGATTTTGAAGAGTTCTGAAGCCTTTCCTTATGATTGCTTTTCTGCTTGTTTTACAGAGTCAAATGGTTTCCAAAAAGGGAGTTTGCCACCAAATTTGATTTTTATGCCCCGATACATTGACTTGCCATTAATCTTCTGCAAGCACGAATGCTTACATTGCATCGTTTTTCTTTTCCCTTTATTTATATGCATACCTTTGGCTTTTTTTTTTTTTTTTTTGCAGGATTTACTTGAAGTAAAAGATCACTGACTTCTACAATGGAAAAATCATGGATGCTTTGGACCTTTGTTAAAAGATGGCTACTAGCTTTGGCTTCCTGGTCTTGGAGTCTGTGCCGTATTTGTCTTTTACCCCTGATAGTGACTTTCCACCTGTACGGAGGCATTATACTACTTATTTTGATATTTGTATCAATAGCGGGTATATTATATAAATTCCAGGATGTGCTGCTTTACTTTCCTGAACAGCCCTCTTCATCACGCCTTTATGTTCCTATGCCTACCGGTATACCACATGAAAATATCTTCATCAAAACCAAAGATGGAGTTCTTCTCAATCTTATCCTGCTGAGATACACAGGGGACAATGCAGCTTATTCTCCAACCATCATTTACTTTCACGGCAACGCAGGCAACATCGGCCACAGGTTGCCAAATGCTTTGTTAATGCTGGTAAACCTGAAAGTAAACTTGATTCTGGTCGATTATAGAGGGTATGGAAAAAGTGAAGGAGAAGCAAGTGAAGAAGGCTTGTACTTAGATTCTGAGGCTGTGTTAGACTATGTGATGACTCGGTCCGATCTCGATAAAACAAAAATTTTTCTTTTTGGCCGTTCCTTGGGGGGAGCAGTAGCTATTCACTTAGCTTCTGAAAATTCCCATAGGATTTCTGCCATCGTGGTGGAGAACACCTTTCTTAGCATCCCTTATATGGCCAGCACTTTGTTCTCTTTCTTTCCAATGCGATATCTTCCCTTATGGTGCTACAAAAATAAATTTCTGTCCTACAGAAAAATCTCTCAGTGCAGAATGCCTTCTCTCTTCATCTCTGGGTTGTCTGACCAGTTAATTCCACCAGTTATGATGAAGCAACTTTATGAATTATCCCCAGCTCGGACTAAGAGATTGGCAATATTTCCTGATGGAACTCATAATGACACTTGGCAGTGCCAGGGTTATTTCACTGCACTTGAACAGTTCATCAAAGAAGTAATAAAGAGTCACTCCCCTGAAGAAATGGCGAAAACATCATCTAACGTAACAATAATATAATTGATATTCTTCTTTGGGGTAGGGTGGGGGGCGTACCTGCACTGTACCTTGATTTGTGATAAGTGGTAAAAGAATGTCCATTTTTAAATGTATGTCATGTCTGTACTTGCCTAAAGAGTGAAATTAAACTTGGAAAGGTCTGATATTTTATTAAGGTGTTCCAGATAACTTTTACATTTGCAGCATTGTAAATGAACCATTTTATGTCTTTCTCATACTTTTTTGGTATCTCTGTCCCTAAATTCCATTTCTTTGATATGTACAACAGATGCTATTAAAGGAACTTGCTACAAAAGTAGTACAGAATGTATTAGTTTAGAACATCAGGAGGCTTTTCAGTATTCACTGCTGTATGTGTGAGCTTTTTGGACAGCCATGGTTAGCACAATGATTTGTTGCTTCTCTTAGAGTTTATTTACAGTGTGCCATGCATGAGATTAGTATTTTATTCCTTGAAATTTTATATTATGCAAAGTGGGAAGTCTTTAATGTGCTAAATAATATAAAACAACATTAATGGTAGAGTATACATGCAGGTATACTATCCTGGGTTATTATTAGTTTTTTATGGTTATGCAAACATATATATTTCAAACTGCAACTGAAAATGGTAAAAAAAAAATATTTTCCCTGTTTTCATTTTACTATTTTTATTATAATAGTGCGCAGAGAGTTGTATGTGCCTAAACATCACGACTTCAGGATTTTACTGAGGCAATTTTGCTGTAGAAAATAGAAGTAACCTTCAGAAAGACAGCAGTGCAGTCTAAGCTCCCTTCTGCCTCAAGCTTTCCTCACTGATGTACACGCAAACTATTTGTTACTAGTAATCTGCTTGTGCATTTTGAGGTGGTATTTCTCAAGGTGAAATGGGTGGTCATACATACAAGGTAAAAGTAGGTATCTGTGTTAGTTTTTTAGGCTGGTAGTTAAATATATGTGCCCTTTATTTATACCTCCAAAAGAAACAAATTCAAATAATTATCTGCCATCAGTTGATTAGAGATTAATATATACAGTCGTTACAATAAGGATAATAAAAATGAGCAGGTAGTCTAGGCAATACTATTCTTGAGAGTAGGAAGGCTCTGCAGATACTGACTGATCAATGGTCCAAAGTCAATGGTATGAGATTCAACAAGGCCAAGGACTGGGTCCTGCACTTGCATCACAACAAGCCCAGGCAGCACTACAGGCTGGGGGAAGAGTGGCTTGAGAGCTGCTCAGCAGAAAGGGACTTGGGTATGTTGGTCAACATCCAGCTAAGGATGTAAGGACATAAGACATTACTGTGTCCAGTTGGCCAAGAAGGCCAGTGGCATCTCGGCCTGTATCAAAAATAGTGTGGCCTGAAGGACTAGGGCAGTGAATGTCTGTCTGTACTTGGCACTGGTGAGGCCACACCTTGAGTTCTGTGCGCAGTTTTGGACCCCTCATGACAAGAAAGACACTGAGGTCCTGGAGTGTATCCAGAGAAGGGCAGTGGAGCTGGGGAAGGGCCTAGAGGGCAAGTCCTGTGAAGAGCAGCTGACGGAGCTGGAGTTGTTTAGTCCGGAGAAAAGAAGGCTCAGGGGAGATCTTACCGCTTTCTACTACCTGAAACGAGGTTTTAGCAAGGTGAGTTTTGATCTCTTCTGCCATGTCTCAAGTGGAAGGACGAGAGGAAATGGCCTTAAGTTGTGTCAGGGAAGGTTCAGATTAGATATTAGAAAAAAGTTTTCACTGGAAGAGGTGCTAGGCCTTGCACTAAGTTGCCCAGGGAGGTGGTGGAGTCACCATCTCTGGAACTCTTCAAGAACCATCTGGATGTGGCACTTGGGGATATGGTTTAGGAGTGGCTATGGTGGTGTTAGGTTGATGGTTGGACTAGATGATCGTGAAGGTCTCTTCTAGCCTTGATGATTCTGCAGTCAAAGACATATGCTGTTAGCTCAGTCTGTATTGGAGTATGGGAGCAGTTTATATCTCTTGTACAGGTTTAATTTCACATCCACTGCAGCTGATTTTGCCTCTTCCAAATATTTCTTTCTTGGGAAGAGCAAGCTGGAAAATCTTCCACACAATCTATATGATTGCCCTTCTGATTGAAATTTTTAAATCAATGTTTATACCATGTTGTCCTGATCCAGAAAAGCATCTCAGCACACACCTAAAATCTGTTTCCTGAAGGACAGGGGTATTTTAAGCTTGTGCTTAAGTTCTTTGATTGAATAAAACTGCTTTCCTAAACTGGTGCCTTAATGTTATGCCTCCAAATGGAATTACAGTTCTTCTGTACACATGGATAATAGTTATCAGCAATTTGTAGGTAGGGTGATACATCTTTACTTAAATTTACTTTTTTTTTTTTTTAATTTTAAAATATATTCTTACAAGAACTTGCTGCTTTCTGTGGTATGTTTTGTGATACTATTATTAAGGTTTTCTTTAAGCTGATTGAAAAAACTAAAGATCTTTTGGGATCTATAGACCTAAAATCATAGAGCATAGTTTTAAATCTGAGTGAAACCAAAACTATCTTTTCAGCCTTACAGTGGTGGTGTTTTTTGTTGATCTTTTTTTTTGGGGGGGGAGGGGGTGGCAAGCAGGCAGGGCATGGGGGGAAGGTATATTTGAAAAGTTTGGCTGTGGGGCTGGGAGGTGAGGCAGTGTTTGTACCAGCAGAAAGGAGTTAACAGATGTAGCATTGCCTTTTCCCGATGTGAACTGCTTGCATAGATTTTTTTTCATGTACTTCACTTTACTTTGGAATAGAGATGGAAGGGGAGAAGGAATATTAGCAGCCAAATACTGCTTTTCTAAAAATCAGTTGGTAAAGCCAAAAGAATAGATTAATTGTTGGAGACAGAAGGAAAATAGTTGTTTCAGAACGTGTCACAACTTGCCATTAAATACGATTGTGATTTTTTTCATAAAATGTCAATTTCTAAAGGTGGCTTTTAACCCCACTTCCCACCAATCAAAACAAAAATCTCAACCCAAAATACCCCTGGTGTTATGTGGCACTTATGTACAAATGAAGTATTTTCATTTGGGCATACAGTTGCAAAGTCAGAGTCAAATGTGTGATGTTAGATTAGGGCAATCTGAAACTGTTCAAAATGGGCTGTGTTTAAATATTACTTTTGATTATAAAGCCATATATTTTCATTATACTGTCTATAGGACATAAATATGAAACTTTGTGTCTGCTTTTGCAAGTATTGAGTGTGAGAAGACACAGTTGTCATATATGCATCCTTTACACTAAATGTGGTTTCTTTCACCTTCCACATATGCACGGTTTGGCCATCCCTTAATGGGTTGGCCACATACACTTGTGAATGAATGTTATCATGCTATTTTTTGTTGCAGTGGCTGTGAAATCCACTGAAAGAAAACAGGAAGGAAATTATGTGTTTATGCAAATATTCCACTGCTGTGCATACAGTCCTTTAAGGGAGGGAGGAGGGGGAAGGAACTTGTTCTGACAAGTCAAGACTTGCTTTTATTTTATGGACTGTGTGATGGAAACCCACAGTTATCTGCTGCTAAAAACTGAACTGTAAGCAACATAGTAATAATAACTTTAAATTGCCAAAATGTGTGCTATGATACTGTTGCATTTATTTAATGCCATTGTATGTTTTCTCATAAAAGTTATCCATTTGTACATAGATATTTCTCAAGTATTTGTCCTGTACATATAAATTTCTAGTTTGGGAAAAAGTTGAGTTATTTTCATAGCTTTGTACGAAAGCTTCTTGGTTTAAACATGCTCATTAAGAGGAAATCTAAGTTAAAAAAAAAAAAAAAAAAAAAAAGGAAAAACAAAGTTGGGGGGGGGCAGGAGTTGAACAGCTGTAGCAGTAGAGTCCTTGTAAGTAAGCATAAGACCTTGTGTGCACATGTGTGTGGTTTTAATTAGTGGAAATACTTGAGACTTCCTGCTAACCCAAGTTTACATTCCCAGTATTTGTTTCTGAACTGTGAAATGCAGAGAGATAAGCTGTGCTTTCTTCTGAAGACATCTAACTGGTTTAGCTGCCCTCATGTCCATTTCTCAGGTAAAATTAGAAATAGAGCACAAATGCATTTGGTAGGCTATGGACAATCTCTCAGCTGAAGGGCAGAAGGATTAACTATTTATACAAAATATGCATATCAGCATCTCTGAGCTAATCATTGGGTCACGTTGGATGTTCACAGTGAAGAATGCAAGGCTGAACTGAGAGTCCAAGGTATGGTCTCTTCTGTTAGCAAAAAGATGCAGATGTACCTCCATTTGTATTTCATAATTCGATTCTTGAAAAGTACATTTTTATTTTTGTTAATGAGAGGTCATTTTGCTAGGGGCACTTCTGCCAAATATAAAATCAGTGCCTCTTGCATGTAGTGGGATCAGCCTGATGCATCCCATTAGGTATAATTTGCAATGCCATCCTGCTTGTATAATTTAAAGTAGAACCCCACAGAAGTGTAAATAGAGATAGCATATTGAAGTTCTAAATAACACTTGTGTTTTGAATTCAGAAACAGTCACTGAATATAAGATGCAAGCTTTTTATTTGATTTTTCTTTATAGTTAAGGCAAAATTGTCCTAAAGTATTCTTAAGTTTTGTAGACAAAGCATAAATGTTACTGTATATGTGCTAATTGTGGCAAAGTTTTACATTCTCATTCTAGTCTGGTTTTTACAATAAAGTTAATTTTACAAAAAACACTTTTCTATTTTTATGTACTGACATATGCAATAAATTGATACATTAAAAGTGCTGTTAATGTCTTGTTCTAGTCTGTGGCGTTTCTTCAGTGTGTGCAAAGGGGTAGTTGTGTGTGTATGGTAACAAATCAACCCCAAGGTATTGTTTTCAGCTTCTAAAGCCAGAGCACATGGACTAGACGTCTGCATTATTAGTCGTGGCATTTGTGGAAAGCTGTTATGGCAGGGGAAAAAGTATACTGCAAACACATGTTTCTAAGCTTTGTCATGTATGCAGTAGCTCTCCATCGCTTTCTAACACAGTTTGCATTTCAAAATTTCTCTGTTGTCTGGGGGACAGAGAGATGGTCTAAATATGATGTCCATTAGGAAGTATTTTGAAGTGTTCCTGACTAGTTTTACCACCTCATGCTGGCAAAATTTCAAATGTCAGTTTTAAATCCTCTA